GGGAAGATTTGGGAAAATTGAAAAAAAAAATCATAAGACAAAACTTAAAGGAATATAAATTAAGTATGTCATTCTTATCTTTTGACCGCGCCTTAATTCAAAATGGAAGATGGAAAAGATGCGTAAACAGGGAGGGGGCAGTCTAAAAAGAGTTTCTCGGTGTTCGATAGGAAAGCGGCGAAGGGCGGAAGAAAGCGGCTAAGCAAAAACTAAAATTGAAATGCATTTTTAATATTTTAATAATTTATTGGCATTAAAGCAATTTACTAGTGACGCTCAATCAGTCTATATTGGGAGCGATTCTTTGTTCTTGTCGTTAAATGCAGACGATGCATGATAGATCTTAAAGAGCGAACGTTTAAAATAAGTTACACTATGGGACGGTTCGTGTAATTGTGTTTTAGGGTGGGGGGGGGAGAGAAAAAGAGACTTTGGGTTTACACTCTATGGAATTTTTTTGGGCCTTGATCATGGGGATATGAAAATTAAAGCGGGGGAGTTCCATTTTGAAGACTTGGGAACATTGGGTGACAATCCCAAGGTTACCTTTTAGAATTGGCTTTCGGAGCTACCGTGGAGGAAATTGTACTTTTAAAACTATATGGAATTTTCAAGTAGAAGCATCTAGCAGGACTTTAAATGTTGGAAGTACAATGATCTATTGAAATTGCATTTGAGATGAAAGAGTTTACATTTCCATCAGAATATTCGCGCACCTTCACAGGAAAGTGATGCTTTCTGAAAATTACAAGAGTGGGCGCAATATACGATTACGATACCGATACGATCTACGCTCGCTGTTGGTCGCCATCACTGCTCAGCCGGAGGAGCCGTCCGGTATAGTCCAGCGGTTTACTGCGCGGAAGTACCCTGTTTTTCGGTACTACTAGATTGCGGACACGGTACTCGACCTCGCCTACTCCACTAACGAGTCTAGGGAGTCGCCTACGCCTACTCCTAACCCTAACCCTAACCCTAACCCTAACCCTAACCATATCAAATAGTTACCAGGGTACGTTCCGGTATACCGGACCGTATCCAGGGTACGTTCCGGCATAGCTCTAGTACTATAGTCCGCGTACAGTTTCCGCTGGACAGCGGCAACTGTACGCGGGCTCTAGTACTACAGCTAGTTTCGGCAGTACCCTGGAGGACATAGAGTCTATGTCATAGACCCTATGAGCATCACGCCATGTTCTTTGCATTGAACATTGCATTGAAGATTTTGCAATTACTGAGAAATTACTTTCAACAACCACAGGCAAAAATAGGTTACAAATATTCAGCTTCAGTGAAACCGGCACATTGAAAAACAACGTTTATCTCATTATACGTTCAAATATAACATTACCAACCAGGTAAGAAAATATTCTCTTTTGACGTTCTGTTTCATTGCTTGGAAAAATAAGAAAGGCATGTGTTCAGGAGGGACGATAAACTACTTTAGCATATTTTATCAGTATTACATTTTAGCAGTGCATGGATGTACGTTATATATTATATCAAGAGCGTATTAAGAAGAAAAGCTTTTTAATACGCTCTTGATTATATGGCCATGCGTAAAAATACAAGTTATACCTACTTTTTCGTTGTGTTTTATGTACTTTCTCTGAAAGACAGCCCTTTCCACGAGAACTGATGTAAGTGCGCCAACATAGCTGAAGCTAGCTAGCACCTCCTGCAGTTTCGACGGCATTTCGGTAGGTACGGTCGGCGGTTGGTTAGAAAGAAGTTGCTTCTTTTTCTTTCCCAGGTTTAGAAAACCTCTATAGTAGTTATATGCAAGACGTCCTCCAATGGAAACCTGTCATAAATTGTAGACATTACATTGCTGTATAATCCAGTCCTCATGCTGTGTATAACTTTACAACACCACCCGCATTGTTACGTACCAACCATACCTACACAAGTTGTGTGTGTGTAGAGGGGGGTTCTTATTACAATAGCAGTGGAACTTTATACTATCGAAACATAGGAAATGGCGGCAAAGCCGCCAGCGCGAGCGCCGTTAAGCGTGAAGCACATAAGGAGGGGTCTGGTCCTCTCCCAAAAAATTTTCGAAAATTTAATGGCTCTAGGTGCGATTTCCCAGCACTTTTAAATAGTATTTTTTATAGACATGAAATAATGGTTTTTGAGTAACTTTTTGCCACATAACTGATTTCTGGACCCGATTTTACGAGAAAATCAGTTTAAATCCTTAAATCTCAATTTAGGTTTCATTGATTTGTAAAAGTTTAAATTAAGGATTTAAACTAATTTAGTGACTGTCACTTGGACCCGGTTTGAAACGGTTACTTTTATGAAAATAAATAAAAACTAATAAACTAAAAAACTAAAAATACACAATGCTAAATTAATTATTTCTCACTTTATTCTCACAATACTGCGGGAATGATACATAGACCTATATATGTATACTGGATAATAATGAAGATCGACAGAACTTTTCATTGTTGCTAATTTTGGAATTCGAAATTGTATACATTTGAGCGGAACTCCTGACTCGCTAGGTGCCCAGCGGGGGGAGGGGGCCCCGCCCGTCGTCCGAGACCCTACCGAACACCCCCTGACTACACCCTACATGTCTTAGGCTGTATTTTGATAAGCATTAGATTTTGCCATTTTCAGATCATTCTTACTCATGACTATGCTAACACGAAACACACATGAAGGCGCGCACACACACGTACACCACACACGCACCTACAGCTCAGAGCACGCAATGCATACGCGCACAGCACCTGACTGGCACCACACACACACAACACTAGCCACAGCGCGCGCACTAGCACTATGTACAAGATAATTAGCGGAAGTCACAGCTAGCCATACCCGACATGTCAGCGAACACCCACGGACTGTTATAGAAACATATACATGGCCGAATCGAAGCATATGCAACATAGTCTTGTATGTAGGGCTATAAGTAACGGTGTCTACCGCTAACTAGTAGCAGTCGAAGCCATTCTACTCGGATTCGACCTACAGCTTGCGAGCGCATCAGAATTACCACGGCATAGCCACGTCAAAAGGCACACGGCTGCCGTGATACTATAAGCCGACCAGCCTGGGACAAACCTGATTGGGTGGGCTTCATTGCTACGCAGAAAAAAACGACCAGGTACACGCAGACCGACGTAAGGATGCAACGGCCTTACATTGGCGGCAGATCGATCAGATTAGTGTTGTGAATCTGTTCGTAGAGTACGTAAGGAGGCGCCTGGAGCAACAAGCTGTAGGCATCCCTAAGCTAATACGCTTTTGCCAGTATGAATATCGTATCGTGTTTCGTCTGAGGTCACCAGCGGTTTCGTTGATAAGCTAGGATAAACGTATTAATGGCGCAGGCCGTAGCGTACAATAGAGACTGCATAGTTTCTTTGTCGGCTTGCATCGCGCATAGGTCGTTAGTGCGGAGAGCTGCTGTGACTAACAGTAGGTCCACTGTCAGACTGAAGTAAATCAGGAGTGGTTCAAGGCCCCAGCGTGTTTGTCGGCGTCAACTCGAGTATTCGCCTTATTACTCAC